AGGTCTCAGTTTTGAAAAGATTCATGGAACATAGATGTAATAGAATACTACTTAAATATCAACGCAAGTAGAAATATCGAATAATAGTCAGACGCCTCGTATTCTATCGCACAGGTGTCCAATAAAGTTTCAAATTCGTGTGCCTCGTAAGTCGAAGCTTTAAACTCAAATATAAACTATACACGAACAACACAATGTAATTAGAATTGTGTTTGCCAATGTTCAAAGACGAGATTAGGGAATCATTAATTGGAGGATAAAAGTGAAAATCTATTCTGGCAGTTTAAGAGAAATTCTGGCCAAATTCTCCAAATGGAAATAGAAAATACACGATTGAAAAAGCTTCCACTTCCAGATTTCTGTCCACGCGTGTAAATTTCAATGAAAATAGCTCGTTTGATCCCCAAGTTCTCGCTGAAATTCATCAGTCTCGACTTCGACGGCCACACTGTGAATGGTTTTCGAGCATAAACTGTCGCGTTGAAAAATGACGCGAGGCTATGCAACTCCAACCCGTTAGTCTTCGTTTTCCTGTTCGCGCGAAGGGACGTCGTCGTGGCTGCTTTCGACGGAAAGAATGGCGGCTTTGGAGTCGATTTCTCAGGTGCCTAAGCGCCCGTGGAACCTAACGGACGACGTAATCCTCGTTAGATCTCGAATACCCGGGTCCTTTCCGTCGTCGCGACCCTCGTGGAAGCCGCGGGTCCGAGAGAGAAAGGGTTGGATCGCGAGGAGCCGATCCACTGGGGGCGAGTTTAGTCGTCGGGGCTCTTGAAAGTCACTTAACTTAGATTGCACCGACGAAATGACTTTAGTTCTCCCGGAAAACTTCGTTCCGCCGGCGGAGCATTGCTTGAAAGCACCGAAAAAAGGGGCCAAACCGGAGGGGGTTGGGGGAGGAATGCACGGTGACAGAGAGCTCGCTGGTACAAGGAGGAGGAAAGAAGGGGGGGAGATCGACGAGGAAGAAGGGAATGCGGTGTACACGCCTTGGCCCGGAGCGTACTACCCCTCCAGGGGGATGAAAATACGAGTACACCTACGATTGATGCCACTCATCGTCTGGATTCGGCACGTATTTCTCGAGAAATTCGTACGGGAACACTGACTAGGTGGACCATTTCTATTTCTGGGGCATACGTAACTGGATAAATGTCGCGAAGTTGCATTTCGACGAACCTGTCACCGGAAAAACTGATTTTTACAGTCGAAAAAAGAACGAGAGAAACGACGTTCAAGGGGTTCTGGCTTTTGTGTTTTATTCTCGAGCACGCGTGAATCTTTAAACGGTTGGAGGCTTTTTCAAACCTCGAAACATGCATTTTTCTTCGTGACGAGACCGATGGCTCGCTCGTCCATTCGATGGTTTTGCATTTTTAACTTTGCTTCTGTCATTTCGAATATTTAAATATTTAAGAAAATATTCGTACAAAAGCGAGCTCTTACAGTGTTGGGTGAAACAGCAATTAGGAGCAATTGGGAATACGTAGCGAACAGGGTGGGGATCATTATGTGTAACGTATGTATTTGCATAAGTGTTCGGGTATTAAACAGCCAAGGCACCGAGGATTGCCCTCCGGGGGGCGTTTAACCGTCGTAAGTTGAGAAAAGCTGCAACTAGCACGCTTCCAGAGTATAAACACGAACATGCTTTATAACATAATCTTCGTGACACGGTAGCTGTTCGTACCGTATATGAAAATTTAAGTAATCTTCACGAGCGTTGAATATCGTCGAGACGAGTAGAGTTACAACGCGCGTTAGCGGGATCATGGACAGGTTACAACATTCCCGGAAGTGTTACAAAAGAGACTGCTACAAAAATTTCGAACTGGTCTACAAACTTTATAATTTTCTTCTTCTATGAATTCTTGATATTTTTCTTTTGATCAATTGTGTATTTTCTATTTCTATTTGGAGAATTATATTGTCAGTGATCAAACTCTTACAACATTCTATAACCTTACAATATTCTATTATTAATATTAGTCAAGACTGATGAATTCCAACGAGAACTCGAGTGTTTTCATACAGACTATTTATACCTATGAACAAAAGTCTGGTAGATATGAGAATTTGGCCAGAATTGCACTTAGAGTGCCAGAGTAGCTGATTTTCACTTTTATCGACCATGTAATAGTAAATAAATAATATTCCATCACTAAGTACACTTGAGAAATCGTCATACACAACCTGTTACTTTAATATTAAAAAGAAATGAATGGCCACAGAGTTTTCGATCGTTCGATTCAGCAGAAAATTGAAACGAGCTTGTCTTTTTAATAATGTATAAACGTATCGGATGCAGGGGCGTCGCTATTAGCGGAAACCCATTAAAAAACGCGTGGATATTCAACCGTAAGACCATCGACAGGGCAGAGACGGGCGACGGAGCCGTTTCGAGTGACGGTCGAGCCGAGATTGGCTCGATTTTCGAAGAGTCACGGACCGTCCGTCCGCTCGTAAATACAGTTATTTCACTTGTTCCTCTTTTCTGCAGAAAACTGACGCGCCAGAGTCGGGCGCGCATAGCCCTCCGTTATACGCGGACGAATAGAAGCGAATGAATCATGGAACCGTAAAGCGATATCGAATGCAATAGAGACTAAGTACATACAGGTGAGTAAATGGTGCTGTGTGCATAGCTGTTGACCACCAAAAACGGACGCCTCGCGCCGCAAATTGCTAAAGCAATTCCAACGATCGCGTTAACCGTACAATTCCCCGTTTCTGCCTCTCCGACTGTCTCTGTCTCTGTTTTTCTAACTGTCGTCCAGTCCCCCACCCACCCACCCCGTTCTTATTTCAATCGATGAACACGTTGCGTGCTCGAGTTCTTTCATTTTTGTCCGTTCGGTTCTTGCGAATAAAATTACCGTTCTTCCTCGAGCATTCGATCTATTTGACATGTAAAACTCATTTCCATTTGTCACGAGATAATTGTATTTCAGACGTAGATATACTCTGTATAGATCGATAATTCGTCGCGAATAACGAGCAGCTCGATTCCGTTTCTATTTAAGATGCACCCCTTTCGACGAGAACGTCCCCCGTAATTTTTTCGCCCCGCTGATCGATACTGTGCCAAGAATCGGGGGACAATCGAGGCTCGATGTGATTTGCACAGGTGCGCATTATTAAACTCGATCTCGTTCTCCACGACCATTGTTAATTCGACAATTATACGCGGCCAGTGACTCTCGTTACCGGTCACGCACAATTGCACCACACTTTCCATTAAAAATCTACGATACGAATTTATCGGGTTACTAAAGTTAAAACTATTCGTACGCAAATAACAAAGGACACGATTATATTTCAAATTAATTTTGTAAGAAATTGTTAGTATCGATTTCGAGAAATAACGTTGCAATTTGCAAATTGTGCTTCATCGTTTCGTTCGAACGAACGTAAAAGTTGAAAACGAATCGTGTATTTCGAATTTCGCCAAACTCGAGCTTCCTTTGCCCGAGTTCTTGACACTCCTATTAAACAATGGCCGTCTGTGTAATTCGTCGCGTTCCATTGTTCCCCGTCTCTCGGACTTTTTCTTTCCGTACCGCTCCTGCTGCGGACGATAACTGAATCCGTTCAACCCGTTGCAATTGTAACGAGACCTGTTAACGAGCGACACGCGCGAAAGCGCTCGTCAAAGGTACCGCTAAGTCCGCGCGTATTTTTAAGTTTCACGCGAAAAAGGAGAACGAATCAAAGCGGCGCGTATCGCTGCTCCCAGTTGGGAACATTGAACGATTGTTTTCTACATTTTCTGCCAGGGGAATTCCTAACGCGAACAATTTCCTACGCTCTAACATTTTTTAATATTTGTTATATATATAGGACCTGCAATGGGCTACAAAATAAAATAAAATATAATAGATACTTAATTTCGAGTACTACGAATTGACGATCTCACAATCAAACAATATTCGCAGAACAATGGACGATGTTTGTAAATTTTCTGCCAGGGAAATTGCAAATGCGAAGAATTTCCTACGATCTAGCATTTTTTAATGTTTGTAATATATATAGGATTTGCAATGGGCTATAAAATCAAATAAAATATAATAGAATATAATAAAATACTTAATTTCGAATACTACAAATCGACGATCTCACAATCAAACAATATTCGCTGTTGGGAACACTGAACGATTGTTTTGTAAATTTTCTGCTAGAGAAATTGCTAACTCGAAAAAGTTCCTACGCTCTAACATTTTTTAATATTTTTAATATATATAGGACCTGCAATGGGTTACAAAATAAAATAAAATATAATAGATACTTAATTTCGAATACTAAGAATCGACGATCTCGCAATCAAACAATATTCGCAGAACAATGGACGATGTTTGTAAATTTTCTGCCAGGGAAATTGCAAATGCGAAGAATTTCCTACGCTCTAACATATTTTGATGTTTGTAATATATGTAGGATCTGCAATGGGCTGCAAAATAAAATAAAATATAATAATTTCGAATACTACGAATCAACGATCTCAGAATCAAACAATATTTTGATATTTATAATATAAATACAATCTATAAAATACAAATACAGAAAATTTAACCTCGAATACCACGAATCGATGAACTCACGAAATTTTCATTCTGCTATTATTGCATCGATTGTACAATAATTAATAATACACTGAACCGAGCAATAGATAAGGCAAATACAACTTGTTAAAAATTGCAAAGGTTAGGAGAAATGCTTGCAAATAGAAAGTCAGCCGCCATTAAGCATTTAAATGTCCTTCCATCCTTCCTTAGTTGTTTATTTATCTCGTGATTAACCTTTAAAGGACATGCTACGCCGTAACGTACTTCCGGAAGTACCTTCCACGTGTTTCTACACGTACCATTACCGTGTCAATTCGATCGAATTCGTGAATGACGATCGCAATAACAGTATGATTTTACCGTATTAGAATGGTACACGATATAAATTCAAGTATACATTTACTGTAGAAAAACGAGGAACAGTCTGACAGAACTCACCCAAGAGCTTCATGACCTGGGACTGGCTGATAAAGATGTTCAAGTATCCATCGCTGCATCCGACCAGGACCAGAAGGATGAAGAACTTGCACCGCAACAGATTGCAATATCCAACACCCCACCTCATTGTCTCACATAATAACATCACTGTACCGTACCACTCGGCTTTCTCCCAATTCTAAACACGTGACAGCCAGTGGGAAATCCAGTCGATCGTCACCGCGCCAGCGAACTTCACACGTCCCCCTTTTACGCGCGAAATCATCGTTCGATAACGAACTTTGACCGCCGGACCCTCCGACGTTTCGCGAACGAACGGGTCACACGATTTTCTAAACCCACCCCTAACCTGACGCGTTAACGTCGAGCCAGTCGAGTAGTATAGATCATGGATCATCCATCGTGCAACGGAGTCTCGCGAGTGTCACATGGCGTGGTGGGCAAACGGGAGAAAAATAGACCTCGGTGGAACGCGGTTCGACGAACCCAACCGTCGTCAGCGTCAGAACGCAACTGACGACCGACGCTCGCGGACACGGAACGCGACACGCGACTCGCGCATGCGCACGCGTACGGGGTGCGACGCCGGACACGCAAACGGCTGACGAATCACTGGATAAAGCACGCCGCGCGTACGTATTGCGAATTGCGAATCGCGGTAAGTGTAAGTCACACCTTCGAATAGCCGATGCACCGCCGCGGGGACGGAAAAACGGACCAACTTCGCCTGGAAATCGCGGAAACTTTTGATACGGACGGGATGGAAGGTTCGGTTCGAGTTACTTCAACCCTTGAGTCGATTATTGGACCCTCCACAAGTTTATACTAATATTGTATGATATGTGTAAATATGAATTTGAAAATTAGTATTTTTTTTAATGCTTTGAAGGTAAACATTAAGTAAAATAATTCAATTGAGTTTCAGAGTCCACTTGAAAAGAAAATAATCAAGAATCGCTATCAGATCGTATTCCTTCGTACAAATTCGTATAAATTTTCGATCGTTCGAAATTTTAACGAAAGTCTGTGATTCGTTACTGGTGCAGGTTGAGAACTCTACCGCTAAAACGTACTGTTTTCCTTACACTCCGGCGACGTTCGCCACAAATGAAAGCCATTTAAACTTTCCACGCTTTCGCATAACGCATTTTGAAAGTTTGAATATTACAAAGTTACGCCCGGCGATACACAGCGAACTAATAATGGTATTTCTGGTAACTGAATGCGCTTAAACCGTCATTTTGATCACTGTAACTCTTTGATATTCGTACGGGACTTGAATTGTAAACTATCGAAGTTTCACCGGCTGAATTTAATTAACTACATCAGCGGAGGATCAAGGTTCTGGAAGTTAGCCATTGTCAGGAACCTTGAACGCGTCTATTTATAGCGTTTTAATACCTCACCCTCGATAGCAATTGACGTATCATAAACCTACGACACTCGTAGTTGATAGCCACACCGAATGTGGGACCTCGGTTTCCCCTCTACATTGTGGCTGAACCCGCCACAGTGGACTGGGGTGAACTTTCTTGGAAACTACCCTATAGTCTGAATTAATTTGCTAATCTGCCCGCCACCCGTATTTGACGGTTCTACGCTGTGCAAAATTAAAACGAACTCGGGTAGAACACGGATCAGCCGCTACTTGCACACGTTTCCGGTCCTCGTTTATTATTAGCGTTTGGCTGATCGTTGGCTGATCGAGAAGAAGATTAACGCGTGTTTAGATCCCCGCTTTAGTTTACAGGTTTCACGCGTTGCTATTAGGGATGATGACGAATATCAACATGGTAGGGGAACGAGTAAACTGTAAACTGTAACTCAAGGGCGGATAATACTAAACCTAGATTTACGTTTATGGTACAGCATCAAAGACTGAATGGTGAATTAAAGATATCAATCCTACTCCCATACCACCCTGTTATCATCTTTCCAGCACGATACACAGAGCAAGTCATCTAACTCGTAAACTGCCATCTGAAAAAATATTTAAAACAATTACTATGGTATAGAATATTATAAAATTTTTCAGTTTGTATGTTAGAAATATAAGAGTTCTTATTTCACATATCACTTAAATAATGCAAAACTAGTCATTTTGGTAGCCATAATGCTCTTAAAGCGACTTACAAATTTTTTCCAGTAGTAAGACTCGATATTAGTCGGACATCGTCGATAACTCTTGATTTAAAGCAGTTTGCAAGGTTATTACGATTGTTTTATATAGCAGAAATAGTAAGTAATTATCAGAGAAGGTTGTTTGTCGAAATTATTACACGTTCGCCGACTTAGAACCGCCCTTATCGATATTAAAGCCGCCACGAAATTGAAAGTTCATTTCCAATCGACTCTACGAGACACTCCTATCGAGTATTTGATTCTATGACGAATTCGCGGTAGTTTGAAAATGGTAAAATTTGATTAAAGTTTCATTAGAAGCGAATTTAAGATTTTTCCAGTAGTAAGACTCGATATTAGTCAGACATCGTCGATAACTCTTGATTCAAAGCAGTTTGCAACGTTATTACGATTGTTTTGTACAACAGAAACAGTAAGTAATCATCAGAGAAGGTTGTTTCTCGAAATTATTACACGTTCGCCGACTTAGAACCGCCCTTATCGATATTAAAGCCGCCACGAAATTGAAAGTTCATTTTCCAATCGACTCTACGAGACACTCCTATCGAGTCTTTGATTCTCCGTCGACGATCCGATGGAGAACGCGCGGCAGTTTGAAAATGGTAGAATTTAATTAAAGTCTTTTCTCTTTCTAGCCATTAAATCCTCTGCTCTCCGCCCCTCGCCCCGGTCAGTGTTTCCCTTTTCTACTCCCCTTTCAATTCGCGCGTATCCCTCGCTCTTTCGCGGCACGGCTGCGCGAACACCATGCACAGTTTGCAACTAGGATCCACGATTTGATCTTCGTCGGTTTAACTTTCATGGGGTAGTCGCGTTCTCCGTCCACGAAACGGGACTTTAATTATACCACGGGGTTAATTAATTCCGTCAAATCCTGCGAAACGAGCCTTCGGCGTTCTCTTCACTTTTTCTCCCCTGTCTGCCCGCCGGTGGCCGAGCTTCGAATGCAAAATTTATCCCCCCGATATACACCCCGACCCTCGACGCACCCCGTCGAAACCCAATGTTTGTTGTGTTTTAATCGGTTTTCAAGCGCGTTGTAAAATTTTAGCAAAATTTAGTGGGATTTGTTTTCTTCGAACAACAAGCTAAAAAAATTATTAAATCCCCGTTATAACTGAATTAGTGGCATATTAGAACGTATAGATAACTAGAAATAGGGCAATAATATCGAATAATGAAACTTAGCTGAACCTCGAATAGGTTAAACTTCTATTGAATCAGGAGGATTCGTAAATTGTAGATCACTGTTTAGTAAACTTTCAGTTTCCGTCGAATGTACAAATAAATTTATCGCGTGCAGCAATTTCGGACGTTAAATTGCTTTCGAATTCGGATATCTCCTTATTTATTCGAATTGAACGGAGTACGTGTGCAGCAGAACGGAAGTTTAATTATACGGGTGGAATTAATTAACTCCGTGAAATCTCGCGGAACACATCCGGGGTTGATCGGGATCGGACGGCAACTAATTAATGGTAAATCTACCTTTTTTTCGTCGAATTTTATAGCGCCGTGTGGCACACAATTTAGAAACGAAACAGCGACAGAAAGTTTCTTGGATTTCTAAAATTCTAGAAAAACTTTTACAATTTCTTTCGAGAAAATAACTATTTATTTTAGCTTGTTGCTAAAATTGTGGATATCAGAGTTACATTTCTTAGCAATATCGTCTGATGTATAGACGCGGTGTCGAGAAATTGTTTTACAGGATAATATCTCGGAATAATTCGCGTTTCGTGCCGCGTACCGGATCCGGCCATCTCGTGCGCCTGTAAAATGACATTATACGGCTCGGTTGTCAATTAACCAAGCGGAAAACTTTTATCGATATCCCCTGGCGTTCGCGCGATCGAGCTTTTCGCGACGAGAACGATATTGTTCGAACGAACGCCTGCGAAAGCCACCGTGTCGCGCATGCGCGTAGGCAGTTTGAATCGAGGCGACGCGCGCACACTGGAATCCCGCGAATATGTGCAAAGCCGTTAGAGTGGATGTAGTCAAATCCATTAAATATTTGAACGGAGGAAAGAAACGAGGGAAGGATGATCCCCGAAGGAAGTCTCCCCCGGGCTCTTAGGCACCATACAGTATATGTATACCCGGGTATCTCTATTAATATTTACATTTACATTTCTTCATCGCCGTTCCTCTTATTTCAACTTGATACCGCTGCAGCTTTTAGTACATTGACTTGAGTTATCGCTTCCTGCGCTCGCCGGGGCTCCCTTTTTTGACGTATTCCGGTGGCAAATATTCTTTGTCGGGGGCACACGCTGTCCCAGCTCGTCTAAATCGCGCGGCCAGGACAGAGGTAGCATCTAAATGAAAAAATTATTTAAATAAAGGGTCGTGTAAAATGTCGCGCGCTCGTACGACGCGCTAAAGAAACGTCCGCGAACAGCCTCGGATTAAGATTTCTCTCGTGGTCGTCGAACGAACTATTCGGACTTTTTTTTATGAGAAAAGCGACGACAATAACATTTTAATGTCAACCCTTTGCTCTACAAGAATTCATTTTAATAAAAGCAACTGTATTCGGCTACTCGAATACAATTTTTGCAACGCCATTTTGAGGAATATTAAAATTGTCCATAATTTGTACAGTTCTTCAATCGTGTTGTTAAACAATATACCATATCGTTGTGGTATTAATTATGTACGAATATTAAACAGTTTATTATACAGTTTATTATACAGTTTATTATACGAATATTATACAGAATATTATTCAGTTTATAACGTATTAAAATTCTTCAAAAGTGTCAAAGAAAGAGCGAGAAGGTTTGAAAAATTAATTTATCAGCGTATAATACGGTTCTGAGAAATAGTAAACACGCGATATTTGGAGAAAGATAATTCCTTCGAGTAACTACTCGATTTTATTTGTAGGTACGGTGTCTGGAAGAGCGAGATCGTCGAGGACGGCGTGGAAATGGTAAAACATTATCGTCGAGTGCAATTAATTAACCGTTCGGTAGTACGAAAATGCACGGGAGTGAA